GGTGGCATACCTGGATGTGGGAGGAGGGGTTGGTCCCTGGATCCATGCCTCAGGACTCCAGGTGGGCCCCGTGGCAGCAGCAGCATGCCTGGTTGAGGGAGGAGGGGTTGGTCCCCGGCTCCATCTGTTTTTGCATTCTAAGATGTTGTTGCAGAGCAGTTGGGTGGGAGAGGGAGGGGGAAGGGGGAAGGATTTAGGGTGGGAGGGGAGGTATGGTTGAGGTCCATGGCACCCCCCCTCATTCCTGCAGGGGAGACCAGGGGGCTTCCAGTGGTGGCTTGGTTGTTGCTGGGCTGAATGCAGATATCAAGGCAGTGTGGCTGAAGCCCTTGGCCCCCCACTGCCTTGGCTTGGGAGCCCAGGGTGTTTCCTGAGGCAGCTCAGTGGTCATCGCTGGGCTGGTTGCGGGTGTTGGGGAGGTATGGCCGAAGCCCTCAGCCCCCCACTGCCCCAGTTTGGGGGACCAGGGTGCTTCCTGCAGCATCTTCGTGGTCATCAGTGGTCTGGTTGTGGGTGTCAGGGAGCAAAGCTGAGGCCCCCAGCCCTCCCCTTCTCTGGCTTGGGGGCCCAGGGGGCTTCCAGTTCTTCTAGGTATTATAGATGTTCTTTGGTCAAGTGAGACCTTTAGTAGTTAATATCAAACTTTGTCTCTGGTCTGTAGATATTTTGTTTTTTCTTTCAGTTCTGTGTTGGATTATTCACTGTTCCTCCCATTTAAATTCTGCATTGGAACTAATTTGTTGTCCTTTACTTACTTCTAAAATGGGGGAACCTCCTATGGGGACCAGCACTTGAGCCCTGTAGTCAAGCTAAATTGCTGTTTTGCTGCTGATTCTCTGGGGAAGGCTTTTTGTGAAGCTCACGTTTTAATGGTTGACTTTGTAGGTACTTCCAGCTCTTGTAAGATCCAGTACACCTGGGTTGTGTGCAAACTCTGATCTGGGCCTGAGCCTTTTCAGAAAACTGCTCCCCCTGCAGTCTCCACGGAATGGTCCTGCTCTGACTGGGGGGTAGATCAGATATCCATGCTGTGTCCCAGTGTTCCCCTGGTGGGCTTGTCTCCCCCACCACCATATTCCAAACACTTCCCATGGGACAAGCCGTGCGCCAGTCCCTTGTGATGACTAACTGGCCTCTGAGGAACTCCTTTTTTCAGTTGTTGTGACTCCTCACTCCTATGTGGGTCCACAGGAACCCTGTTAGTGGTCTTGCTGGCCTGAGGGCCACCAAGGCCCTCTTATCCCCTGCTGCCTCCAAGCAACTTCACAGGAAGGGCACAGCTGTAGTTTTTGCCAACTCTTGCTCAATGAGCTCACCAAGGTCAGCCCTGAAGCAGCCAGGACTCGAAATGGTGGGAGCGGTCCTTTCTTTCTCTCATTATGGCTTCTCCTGCCTTCATGCATACCGTAGGTCTCTCTTCTTCTTCCCCTGAGCTCTAGCAGCCCCAGGCTGGCTGTTGTTGCTTTTTAATAGTTGTAAATTGGTTGATTTGTGGAAGAGAGTGACACTGGGGACTGTCTAATCTGCCATCTTGACCAGAAGCCCTGTTAACTCAATTTAAAGGCTTACATACCATGACCAAGTAAGATTTGTCCCAGGAATGCAAGGGTGGTTCAACATAAGAAAATCAATCAATATAGTACCTCACATTAATAGAATGAAGGAAAAATACCACATGATCATCTCACTTGTTACAGAAAAAGCATTTGACAAAATCCAACACACTTCATGACAAAAACACTGAGAAAACTAGGAAGAGAAATTTCCTCAAGATGATAAAGGACATTTATGAAAAATCCACAGCTAACATCACACTCAATGGTGAAAGACTAAAATCTTTCTCCCTAAGATCAGGAGCAAGACAAGGATACCTGCTTTCACTACTGCTATTCAACATTGTATTGAAAGTTCTAGCCAGAGAAATTAGCCATGAAAAAGAAATCAAAGGCATCCAAATTGGAAAGGACGAAGTAAAACTATCTCTATTCACAGGTGACATGATCCTATATATAAAAACCCCAAAGAATCCACAAGAAAGCTACTACATCTAATAAACAAATTCAACAAATCTGCAGGGTACAAGATCAACAGAAATATTATCTGTATTTATATCCCAGAAATGAACAATCTGAAAGGAAATTAAGAAAGCAATACCATTTACAATATCATCAAAAAGAATAAAATATCTAGTAATATATTTAACCAAGGAGGTGAAAAACCTGTACACTGAATACTACAAAACACTGCTGAAAGAAATTAAAGACACCAATAAATGGAAAGACATCCTGTGTTCATGTATAGAAAGACTTAATGTCAATACTACCCAAAACTATCTACAAACTCAATGCAATCTCTATGAAAAGTCCAACAGCCTCTTTTGCAGAAATGGAAAAGTGGATTTTCAAATTTGTACAGAATTGTAAGGGGCCTCAAATAGCCAAACTAACCTTGAAAAAGAAAACAGACTTGGAGGACTCACACTTCCCAAATTCTAAACTTACTACAAAGCTACAGTAATCGAAACAGTGTGATACTAGCATAAGGATATACATACAGATCAACAGAACAGAATTGAGATTCCAGAAATAAATCCATACATTTTGACAAAGGTGCCAAGTCCATTCAGAGGGGAAAGAATGGGCTCTTCAATGGATGGTGCTGGGTCAAGTAGATTTCCACATGCAAAAGTAGGACCCCTATCTCACACCATATACAAAAATTAACTCAAAATGTACCAACAATTCAAATATAAGAGCTAAAACTATAAAACCATTAGATGAAAACAGAGAAAAATCTGCTTGACTTTGGATTTGGGAACAAATTCTTAAATATGACATCAAAAGCACAGCAACAAAACAAAAAAATAGAGAAATTGGACTTCATCAGAACTAAAAACTTTTGTGAATCAAAGAACTTATCAAAAAGTAAAAACAACAACAAAAAAAACCCTCAGAATAGGAGGAATTATTTGCAAATCATATATCTGATAAAAGTTTAACATTCAAAATATGTAAAGATCTCCTACAACTCAACAAAAAGACAAACAACTCAATTTAGAAATGGGCAAAAGACTAAATAGACATTACTCCAAAGAAGATACATAAATGGCCAATAAGCAAATGAAAAGATGCTAAACATGATTAGTCATTAAGAAAATGCAAATCAAAACCACAATAAGATAGCACTTCACACTACCCACTAGGATCACTCTAATCAGGAAAAAAAAAAAAAAAAGGAAAATAAGTTTTGGCAAGGATACAAAGAAATTGGAACACATGTACACTGCTGCTGTGGAAAAAAGTTTGGTGGTTCCCCTAACAACTGAACAAAAAGCTTACCATATCAAGGAATTCAAGTCCATTCCTTGATATACACACAAAAGAATTGAAAGGAGGGACACAAACAGATACCAATAGCAGCATTATTCACAATAGACAAAAGGTGGAAACAACCGAAGTGTCCATCAACAGATGAATGGATAAACAAAATATGGTATATACATACAAAGGAGTATTATTCAGCCACAAAAAGGAATTACATTCTGATACATGCCACAACATGGATCATGCTTAAAACACTATCCTGAGTGAAACTGGCCAGATAATAAAAGTACAAATATTACAATTCCACTTATATGAAATATCTAGACTAGACAAAGTTCTAAGTTCAAGGTTAGCAAGGGCTGGGTGGAAGAGGCAATGGGAAGTTAATTGTTTAATGGTTACAAAATTTCCATTTGGGGCAATGAAAATATTTTGGAAATGCTGTAGACACTGATGGCTGCACAACATGGTGAGTAATTAATGTTACTGAATTGACACATAGAAATGGTTAAAATAGCAAAGTGTATGTTGTGTATATTTTAACACAATTTTAAAAAGATAATTCGGATCATGTTGTTTCCCTGCCAACTCTCCAAAAGCTTCCCATCTCCCTCAGAACTAAAGCCCCAATTTTCCACAAAGTCCTATCTGTCCCCTGCTCTTTCCTGTCTGACCTTATCTCCTACTGTTCTTCCCCTACTATCTCTGTTCTAGTTTACTAGTCTCCTTGGCTGCTCTTTGAACACAACCAAGCAGGCTACAGAGCTCTGAGCCTTTGCACTTTCTTTTCCCCACATAGCAACAAGGTAAGTTCTCCCACTTTTTTCAGCTCTTTACTCAAAAATTACCTTCACACTGAGGCCTTCCCTGACCACCTTTCGTGAAACTGCAGCTTCCTACCCCCACCTGCAGTCTGGTATCTGCATTCATTGCTGGTATCTGTAGTTCCTAAAGCAGTGCTCAATAAATGTTTACTGAATTAATAAAGGGAGACCACTATTCAATGACACCGAACTCTGAACTACCTTACCCATCCTGGCCTCCAACTCCCTAAAAATCAACATATCGAATCATACAAAGCCTGAAGTACTTCGACGTACTCTCCTAAATTAGCATCCTAAGGATTTATCACCCTTTTCAGTACGGAGTAGTATTTTTCCATATCAAAACTACCCAGAGAAAAACTAGGCTAAATCATAATAAAAACAAAGTTACTTCCCTCGACTTTGTTATAAAAACATGGAGTGGCTCAACTTCTGCAGCAGTGAAGGTCGGACCCGAAAACAGAACCCTGAGGATAGAGGACAGACAAGCAGCCCCATGGCTGGGGCCGAGATTGTTATAAAAACATGGAGTGGCTCAACTTCTGCAGCAGTGAAGGTCGGACCCGAAAACAGAGCCCTGAGGGTAGAGGACAGACAAGCAGCCCCATGGCTGGGGCCGAGGAAGCACAGTCTACGGCTGACGGAAGCTACGAGAAGGCTGCCGGCTGCCTGCGGCCCTTTTCCTGGAGCTCGGGGGGATGGGGAGGGGGAGCGGAAGGTCAGCTTCTGAGGAATCCCCCAAACACAGCCCAGGGGCCTGCTCCGAGGGCCTCGGCACCACCGAGTGCCGGAGAAGCCTGAGGCTCCGCAGGGTACGGAGCGGCGGGAAGCAGGAGCGAGGCGGACACGTTACCTTGAGGAGAGCCAGTTCCACGGGTCTTCTCCCTCAGCCGGAGGTCTCGTGGGCGCCCCAGCAGCACGGCCTTGCAATCCAGGCATCCGGGGCTGGCACCGGATCAACAAACTTTATTCCCGCGCTGCGGAGAGTAGGCTGGAGCGTCACAGCGTCCACAACACACTTGGCCTCTGGGAGACCGGCCTTCCCCACCCCTATGTCATGTGAAAATTGGGTTTTATATCACAGTCACTCTATCATAAAGAAAATGTACCCAAATTTATGTAGGTAGATCTTAGAAAAATATGTGTTAGTATATTTTCTCATATAAGGAAAAAAAGTCAGTCTTTGTTCTTATAATAAATATGATATATGAAATCATTTAAATTTATTTTAGTAGTGGAGTTTTAATCAATATTTTTGAATAGGGAAAAACCTACATATAGTACAAAATGTAAACAATCAGACAAGTAGACAGTGGAAAGTATCAGCCAATGTTATCAATTTCTTGTGTATACTTCTAAAGTTATTCTGCAAATACAAACATATATGTGTATATATATATTCATTTTAATGAAAACATAAACTATCCTTTACCTAGTACTATTAATTTTAGATCTGTCATTTTAAGTGATTTTTTTCCTTTTACTTAGATATAATGCTTGACCTAGTTAACATCATTTAATTTGAACTTTATTATTACATCAAGGGAACATCAAGGAAATTTTAAATGAATCCCATTGGTGTTTACTTAAAATACAAACATATGTATATATTAATTTTTTTAATGTGCAAATATTTAGTTTATCCTGCTAGTTTCTCTTCCCCACTCTTACCTTCCCATATTCCCCTCTTCCTTCCCTCAAAAAAACTGGTATTTTTCCTGAAGTAACACAGTCGAGGAGTGGCAGAATATTAGATAATTTAACCAAATGTTATTTTAGATTAACTATGTTCTCTCTAATGAAAAACACTCATTTAAAAACCTTAACAAGTTATCGCTTTCAGTCCATTTTTACTAATTCTGTTACTATTATCTTATTTTTACCCGTAATAACTTCGTATAGCATACATTATACGAAGTTATACGACGTCTGCGATGGTTCTCAGCGCCCCTCCCCCACCCCACCCCGTGTGTCTGTTTGTCACTTGCAGCTGAAGATGGAAAGAGCCCGGCGAAGGGGAGGCGGCGGCGGCCGCGGCCGCGGAGGCAAGAATGTAGGGGGCTGTGGCCTAAGCAAGAGTAGACCCTATCCCCAGGCCCAGCACCCCCACTACCCCCACTACGCCGCTTCAGCCACCCCTAACCAGGCTGGGGGCGCAGCGGAAATCCAGGAGCTGGCCTCCAAACGAGTGGACATCCAGAAAAAGAGGTTTTACCTGGACGTGAAGCAGAGCTCCCGGGGCCGGTTCCTGAAGATAGCCGAGGTGTGGGTAGGCAGAGGCCGGCAGGACAATGTCCGGAAGAGTAAGCTGACCCTCTCCCTGTCGGTGGCCGCGGAGCTGAAGGACTGTCTAGGGGACTTCATCGAGCACTACGCCCACCTGGGCCTGAAAGGCCACCGGCAAGAGCATGGCCCCAGCAAAGAGCAGGGCTCCAGGAGGAGGCAGAAGCACTCGGCGCCCTCCCCGCCCATCTCGGTGGGGTCGGAAGAGCATCCTCACAGCGTCCTCAAAACAGACTATATAGAGAGGGACAATAGGAAATACTACCTAGACCTGAAGGAAAACCAGCGGGGTCGCTTCCTGAGGATTAGACAAACCATGATGCGGGGCACTGGCATGATAGGTTACTTTGGCCACAGTTTGGGCCAGGAACAGACTATTGTCCTCCCGGCACAAGGAATGATTGAGTTTCGTGATGCCTTGGTTCAGTTGATTGAAGACTATGGCGAAGGGGACATAGAAGAACGAAGAGGTGGAGACGATGACCCGCTTGAACTCCCAGAGGGGACTTCTTTCAGAGTGGACAATAAAAGGTTCTACTTTGATGTGGGCTCTAATAAATATGGAATTTTCCTGAAGGTAAGTGAGGTGAGGCCACCTTACCGTAATACTATTACCGTTCCATTCAAAGCTTGGACAAGGTTTGGGGAGAATTTTATCAAGTATGAAGAAGAGATGAGGAAAATTTGCAACAGCCATAAAGAAAAGAGAATGGATGGCAGAAGGGCCAGTGGTGAAGAACAAGAATGCCTCGACTAGCGTGAAATTGAACTCCATCAGGCAAAATTTTTAATCATAAATTGGCTAAAAGTACTGATCCATAATCATTTGAAGAAGTCTTTCTTCTTTTTTGGCCCTTTGTTATTAGTAATACCTCTAGTAGTTTATACTTCAAGAAGTCTGATTCTCATGTTATGTAATACATAGGTCACTATAATTCTTATGGGAATTACAGCCTTCCCAGAACTAAATAGTTTAGCTGCTTCCACTGCTCCAGACTATTGAAGTATGCAGATCAGCACCAAATGTGACATTCTGACCTTCTAAACACCATAACTAAGATATATATTGCACTATGACATAATCCTGAAAAAAGATACATATACTTAACAAGGAAGTGTGAATTTCTATTTAACAAGTTCCCAAAAACAGTATTCCATTCCTACTTCATTAAAAGCTACTAAGCTTACCTGTAGGACAGTTACCACAGAAACAAAAGTTGACCTCAAATATAGTATAAATGTATTGATTTATAAAAATACAAGTAGAAATATATTGTGCATTGGATAACTGAGTATTAAACAGTACTGTTAATGGATCAAATTTTATTAGCTGATTAAACATTAAAAATACAGCATCATAATATTTCTTAAAAGTTACTACAGTATTTTATAATTTCATATTTTGTGGTAACCCTACAGTTTATAGTTGCCATATTAAAGCCATGGGAGAGTTTTAATTGGTTATCCTAAGCTAGTTGCAATTGCATCTTCACCTCTGTTTATTGTATCATATATTTTTATTGACTTTTCCAAAGTTTCAGGAATTACTTTCATGTCACTATTAAGTGGGAGGCTTCATCCAATGGCTTTGCTATGGAGATCTTGGTGTTTTAGCTTTTATGCTAATTTTAAGATTGTGAGAGGTTTTTTTCCTACAATATATCACGGACTCAAGGTGTTATATTTTATGCTTCTTCTTTAACTCTATTTCAGAGGGGTTGGTGCACCAGTTAACTGATATAAAAATACATCTGTAATAATATGTTTTAGTAGCACTTTTGCGCTTGCTACCTTTAAAACCATGTCAACACTTCCAACATAAACCCAATTTTTACAGATGTTTTAATTCCAGAGGGGAGAAAAAAATATTTTTTTCTAAAAAGCATTTAGAATACGAATTTTCAGTCTGGGAAAAATATTATTTGAAGATTGGTTATAAACATATTTGAAAGGAAAATTCAGGCATTTTCAAAGGTGCTCTTTATGATCCTTAAAGAGGTTTACCTTACACAAGACTCACCCATTTACCTGTATTAAAAATTACTTTCCAGGAAGTGCCACAGCAATTTCTCAGCACCTAAGCAATTTTTGAAACAAGTGGATATAATGTATATGTGTACCAACCCACCCTCTATTAACTGACTGAAACTTCATCTGCTGAGCTACATTTTATTCTGAATGAAATTGTCTTTTATTTTGGCTTTATTCACCTCCCACACAAGTTCATATTATCGTGTTTAAGAGCCGGAACACTGATTTCAACCCCCAAATATAGCTCTCATTGATGAGAGCTAGCTGCATGGCTTGAGATCAGAATACAGCTCTTCTTTTATATAAATAATTGCAAATTATTTTAGCAATTTTTTTCCTCCAGATGTTTTCCCCCAAATACATTTAAGTAAGATCACAAAGAAAACTTTATGGTTTGAATTAAGAAAATTAGTTTCATTGGTTTGTGTTACTTAAGAACAAATAATCAGTGACTCATACATAGATGCAGTGTTAGTTTGCAGATTGTATTTCACATTTCCTCAAGTAGTATGAAGGAATCTCATTAGTTCACTATAATTGTGGACCATCTGGATCACTATGGAACCACTGAAGGTTAGAAGATAATGTTAGTACTAGAGTTAACAGCACAGGTGAGTGTTGGGACTCTAAAAGTAACAAGGATTTTTAAACAGTCCTAACTGTAAAATAACTATGTAGGCTTGCTAAAAAATAGTTTTGGTATATGAAGGCATGATGTGCACTTGAATTACCGTACTACTGATTGTTATTGCCGCCCATCATAGTGCCTATTAATAATAAGCAACCTATCAGATTTTGGCAAACTGGAGCTGTGAATATTCCAGAGTTCGATTGTTCCTATCATTACTGCTAAGAGTGTATACTCCCTCTTAAAATCTTCATTCCTAAAATATTTACATCCATTAGGTGTAAATGATTTCCTCTTTTGGTTTTTAGTCTGATAAGATTTGAATGTGTATTACTATATATGTATATAGTAATACATATATTTGTGTATATATACATATATGTATATATGTATTCATACACACAATATTATGTCAGACTTAAATATCTTTAATTCATTGTATATAAATATTATTAGTTTAATTTTACATTGATTATTTAAGTAAAAAATTAGTTAAGCAGCCAAATTTTCTACCTTGTATGTATACCTTAAAGTTTTTACCATCTCAAAGCTACAAATTGGATAGATAGATATACTGGCAATTAAATATACTCTAGAATCATTAAGCCTTCTTCCAGTCCTTTTGTTTCATTTTTTCATGGTTAATTTATTCTTTGAAAAATGAAATGATGCTATGACTTTTTGATACTTAAAATTCCCAAGAATTCATTAGCCATAATTAAATATGATCCAGTTCAAAACTCTGGTATTAGGACATATATCGCCATGTATCTTAACAAAATAAGCTACTATTTTTATCTGTGCAATATACATTTTATTTATTGTTATTTGTAACATGAAAGGAGCTGCAAGTGTACATGGCATTCTTCAAAATAATAGGATCCCCGCCTTGAGACTAAACTCTTAAGGCAACTGAATGTTAGAAACAAAAAAAATGAGCATTAAAGTTAGTAACCAAAATTACTAGTTCACTGTATAATTCTAAAACACTGATGATGTTTGCACATAATAATCCAAGCATAATGTGGT